GTACAATACGAGAAAATACAACACTAGAGATAAGGCCTTTTTGGTATTTTTCAAATTTAATCTGTGGGTTATAACATGTTGTCACACCACTCTTGGTGATAATAACACGTAATGCGAACAATGTAAACCTGCATTGTAAGTAATTGCACTTTTTTGACCTGTGGTTTGTTTTATTGTGGAGATCGAATCCTATTAACTTTCATTCAAGTCAGATCTTCCGATGAGCTACTCGAGTCGAATCATTTGCTGGTAGTATGGAATCGAGTCGAATACACGTCGGGACTCGAGTCGAGTTGAGTTACCAAAAATTGTGACTCGAGTCATTACAATTCTGGTGTCTGCGCATGGTGATATGGGCACGCGCTGGCCAGCTGTTGGGAGTCACTGTTAGCTCACACCATTTGCCAGCATGCCTATTATGTGCATGATACGTGCATTACTAGTAAAATGAATTCATCAATGAAAAGGTCAATTAATTTGTACAGATGGCAGATAAACGATGAATTCATTCATTTTGCTACACATTTTCAAGTGAATGGTTGAGGAACCATTGCTTAGCTTTACTCGTCAAGTGTCAACCAGCTGTCTAGATTTTATTACACATGATGGTAACCGCTGGAGCTTGGGAACGCGGCGCTCATAATGACGCTCTTCCAAAATACATCATTCAAGCAATAAGTGAACCCTCTTGATTTTAACCCTCCCCCTTCTTGTTATTTTGGCCCCTCTTAGAGGAATGCCTTCCTTGCCAAACATCATGTTCATAGACCTACTGGTCTTTCTGGGTCTCAGCCTGATCAGCAATGGCACAGCTGGCCTGGTGAACGTAAACGACATCGATCTCAGGGAGGCCGAGGCGGAAACCACCCCCAATCTCGTGGAAATGATGACAAACCGCCTTTGGGGGGTCGCCGAGCCAGAAACGTAAGGAAAACAGCTAGATATTTAACAACTGAATGAAAGGTAATGTCTAGCACTTGGCGCTACCAAGTACATAATTTTACGATAAACGAGGTCCCGCGTTTTTTTAGACCGTAAGCTGTACGTACAGTATAGTCTAGGTTCCAAGATCCTAGTTTCTAGTAGCTTCTTCAGCGACTTGAGCCATTACAAATACCGGTACACCGTTTACAGGGGGCTATCATCATCACACTAGTGCTGAGCGATTCCAGCATTTTTGGAATCGATCCTAATTCCGTCCAGGAATCGCGATTCCTAGACGGAATTCAATGAATGCAATGAATTTCGGAATCATCAAACAATTTGAAAACCGGAATCGGTTCCAATTTTTATATGTGCGAATGCCATGTTGAGTATACCCGAGGTTACATGCAAAATGCGCTTGTAAGATGTTTCCTTAACACTATCTTGTGTCATTAAAAATTATCCCCTTTTATTGCATCGGAATCATGAAAGATTTATTATCATTACAGGTTTTTATATCAGAAATTTTAACTTGATTGAAGCACATCATTTATGGGAAAAGATTATCAATATACGTAGCCGGCTTTCAAGTTTTCCAGTATAGAAGTGACCTTGAGTTCTAAAATGCGTATTTGACAAGAAAGAAACATAGGATATGTACCTTTATTTTCATGCCGCCAAAAGCCGTCCTGAAGAATTTTTTTCTTAAAGTCCCCACAAATGTGACCTTATTCCACCGACGACGAACTATGATAGTTTTTCGATCTTTCGATTGTAAATTCCATCAAACAGCACCGCATGTGTCAGCGGCCGGTTCGTGCGATCGCTGGTGAACATGCCTAAAGCTACATTCTTCCTGTGTACACCCGCTGTCAGCTTCAATACGAGGCCGTTAGTCTTGTTCCAAGGCGGAGATGGAAAATTTTGAGAATTGTTCATTTGACCTTCAATTCACTCAACAGGTTGAGTAGAATTTTCTTTTCTTTATGACAGAAACAAGGATGAAATGTAGTCAAAGATTTGTGTTTTGGCAGAGTGAATGACAGTAATCATGGTGCACATCTCATAGACTCAAACACGAAGCACTCGCAAAGAAACGCTTGCAGTCGGCCTGCAGCCACAGGTCCGTACGTCCTTGCACCAACGGAGAGCCGTTGATGCATGCAAAACTATTAGAAACATGCATGAATTTAGTAGCATACTTCCAATAGCCTCTGAACGTTCTCATTTGTCTTCCCTGTGCCGTGGTGCCCGAGGCAAGTAGGCCCTGCCTCATGATCTGTGCCCACCCTGGCATTGAAATCGCCAAGGAGAAATAAGGACTCATCTTTTGAAGAACCTTTGATCAGAACATCAAACTGCCCATAAGACTGATCCTTTGTTTCTTCTGATGAGATAAGGGTGGGAGCATACACGGAGAGGATGTTAACAGGGCCTCCGGCAGTGCTGGACAGCTTGGAGAGCAGACGCTCGGTGCGTCCAGAAGGGGGCTCTACCGAAGCCAGACAGGTGTTCTTGATGGCAAGCCAACTCCATGCTGGCGGGGTTCTCTACCCTTCCAGAAAAAGTATAGTTCTACTCTTAAAGGGAGCCACTGGAGGGGAGCCTGCTTTGTTCAAGGACAGCTATGCTGATGTTGAGTCTGGAAAGCTATCTATCGATGATAATTGTTTTCCTGGTGTCATCCACCTCTTCAAGGTCGCCAGTAACATTCGTGCACAAGGTGTGCACGTTCCAACTTGCAAGTCGAATAACGGGAGACTTTTTTGTTTTCTTGATATGTTTTTGCCTGGTGCGAAGTTTACCGTCTACTTGTCATGTCTGAGGTGAACATTAAGCCTTAGGCACCTACTAAGGCAGGCAGACGTTGGCGGGCCGACACCTCATTGACCAGGGGCTGCCCGGCTTGAGGCGGAAAGTAGTTGGCCAATGGAACACGATGGTCCCTCCCACTGTCCAAACTCACCCCTAGCGCCCCGTTCCACACGCCAGTTGGGACGGACTTATAATCCGTAAACTGTCAGCTTCCGCGTTGTTTCCTCACTCGGAAGCGAGGCTGGAGTGGCCTCTCCAGGGCGCAAGCCTAGGCAGAAAATATGGAGATCCTGGGTTGCCCAAACGTCAGGGTCCCCCTCTCAGCCTTGCTGATGGGACCCGAAGGAATGCTGAGCATGACGTTTGGCACCAGTTTGGCTGCAGGAGCTGCCGAAACAATGTGTCCAAGACAACAGCCCGCCTTAGGGGCCCCACTCTTCATTTGGAAGGTTTACTGCTTTACACCTAGCCGTTGAGTCTCTGGAATGGCCGGCTATTGGTGCCTTTCTTATCCATTGAAAACAGTGTATTGGCGCAAGGCATCTCTTTATGTAACCAATTTTCAACACAGATTTACGCCACTGGCTATACTGTATATGCTCCTTGATTTTTTTTCTTTTGACGACATGCGAAAAGTACTCTGCATCAGGACTGATGAAAAACAATTGGAAGTCTTTACTGTCAACATGAAATTCTCTCACGAAATGTAATCTTCGATTTGCTTCACTTCGCACACCAGGACCCCAGTACCTGTGCTGAGATGCTTAGTGAATGCGGATGATCATAAATGACAAAAGGTTTATGGTTTATCAAAGAGCAATTCCGTTCTTTGGTAATATTGAGAACCACGTGCATTCTAATTGGTATTATTGTATTAGATGTTTCTACCCGACAAAAAATATAAGAAGAATACAGATAAAGAAATATAAGGATCCATAACAAAACAAACAAATAACAAAAAACGGAAAGTTGGTCCTCTTTTCGTGTTAACTCATGTGCGCTGTCGTTTTTTGACATTGGTTTTGCAATCCCATTACTATTAATTTTTTGTAAAAATTCCTACATGAATCTCCTCTGCAAACTTAAGATCAATTATTGGGAAGATAAGATTGAATTTCAGGAGATAAGATCAAATTAAGTTTTATGAAACACCTAGTCTCATATATTAAGATGGATTGAGAAACTTAAATTTCTTAGAGAATAAATTAAAATAGCCCATCTCTAGAATAAAAGCAATGCAGTTCGGAGTGTGGTGCATCTTCTCCTTCGAGTTCTTCGGGGGTGTCATATGCCACAACAAGCGGGACCAGTGACTTGTAGAGAAAGAACCTTGTGTCTAAACACCATCGGCTACCGTACAAATCAGTTGCCATGGTGTATGCATCTTGGGGTATAAGCTAATGGTGATGCCTATAGTGGAGCAAACGGGAGATACACGAATGCAGGGACGGATGTGGGTTCGGGCCAACGGGAGCTATGGCGCCCCAAAGGATCTCTTTTTATTAATAAAAAGAGGAAACTAATTGTTTGCGAAATTTCATTTCCCTGTCTTTGGGAAATTTCCTATTTCCCTAGCCAGGGTAATTCCCCTAACTTTTATGACGAGGATAACGGGCTATTAGATCAGCCCCCGTACACATTTTCGCGTTGAGAGGAAAGGGTGGATTTTGAGGTGCATTTTCGTACTTCTGAACAACCAAAATGCATTTCATAATACTGAAAAAGGGCTAAAAAATACGTAAGTACATAAGTAATAATTTTGTATCATATTAAGCGCCCTCTACTGCCATGTGGGGTCCTGGAACCCCTCCTCCACGGCTGGGCAATTTTTAAAGTCATTCCTTCTCCATCACCCAAACCAGATTTACGTCATTCCCCCCCCGTATGAAACGTATTCCCCGAAATTTTGTTCTGAATCCTCCTTTGAAGGAGTGAACAAAAAAAGTAAATTTCGGCTGAGGGTAACGTGCTTTTGGTTTTGGAGTGATTACAAATCTTTCGTTCAGTCTGTAAAACCAAGGCCTTCATCTACGAACAAAACACGTTCCAATTGGACCTTGCAGAGAATGTCGTTCATAAACATATTTAACAAATTAAATAAATATATTTCGTTGTCATACGAAATAGACTAGATGACGGTCTACGCATCACCCGGCAGTGACTGGTAAAGAAGATACTTTCTTGTCATTGGTTGGCCAGGATAATGACAACAATCGCACATGAACCGCCTTTTGGTTCAGCATAGTACTTAATAACAGAAACCCAACTCGTCATTGATCACTCCGGCCGCCAACGCCATTGAACAACCGTCGATATTTTACATTTTTCCTCCCCATAGACTCTGCCGGGGGCGAACTTTCTCTGGGGTAAGTTTTGTTTCATGTGTAGTTACCGACTCCTTCCTAGCTAGTGGAAACAGTCTATTGTATTGGGAAGAGCATGTGCCTGACACAAAACAAAATGGAAGTATAACAAAGTCGAGTTGGCACAGAGCTGGCACATTGTTTTTATAATTTAATTTCACTTCCAAGGACGCATAGGATGGGGCAAAAGACAGGGAATTCTGTATGGAACATTTTCTGGCCTTTCCGAGGTGTTAATTTATACACAATTCAACTTAATCAGGCTAACTTTACTTTTAAAATTTCCTCACTTTTTGACTGAAGTAAACTATGATAAAAATGAAGGTTTTAATGAGTATCACAGTCTTACTTTTACTTCTACTCGGTGGATTTCCTTATAATCCATTAACCCAGACAGCCAGAACATTGCTTCATTCACTGAAAAGCTTCTAAATGTGAACCACAATTCTAACGAAATCACTGAAACACTGTTGGATTCTAGGATTTTTCTTTACTTGTCTAAAATCACTCCAAATGCATTATTTATGACTTGTTGCCTCCTTGTTGGCGACACCCTTGTTTCACTTTCTTATAATTACACAATTATCTGGGGATACATCGTGTACTATCTAGTAGGAAAATTGTTTCATTGCCTGTCTTTAGAGGAAACTAGTATTTCAGCCTCGAAGAAGTTTCCCCGGTTGCTAGGGTCGGACTTAAAACCCCCCTCCCGAAAAAGGGGGGAAAAATCCCCCAGAGCCCCAATTATATAGCCTTTATTCAAGTCGGGTTTTCCAGAGTGTCATGTAAAAGGAAAATTCGTCAGCGGTATATGTGTGGCAGGGCCAATTTTCAGTTGTAATTTTATGTATTCTTTATTGTTTAGAAGATAGGAGTAGTGCCCCTTAGTGAGGAAAACAAAATTTATTTCAGACTCAGTTGGATCATGTGCGCCCTGCTTGTGTTTTTCTCTGTTCAAGTCCTTGGTGAGTTTTCATTCCCATGATAATTGTTTTCTTTCATGTATTGTGAGTAGTTTAAGTATAGTTTATTCAATGTAGTTTTTTTTTTAAGTTTGTTTAGTTTTCAAAGTAAACTTTGATTCTGGACAAGGTTAGTCTTTTGAAGAAGTTCTAGTTTTGTAGCTTTGGAATTGTTCTATTTGCACAACTTATTCAATCTGTTTGAATGTTTTTGAGAAAGTATTTCAGCTGGTTGAATTCAACTTGAGTCAAGTACAGGACCATGCTGTATTCTTTTCTGTCAAACTGGTAATTCATTTGCTTTCTAGATCCTCTCAGTGTCCTTTGTACATCTTATATGACATACATAGAGTTTAGTGAGTCAAGACCATCCATGGTCAAGTTGAGGTACTATTGGCCTAGTCTCCGTAACGAGACGATGAAGCACATGAGACGACACCAAAAAAGAGTGCAGCAAAATCACAAGTCAACCCACCAAGCAACCACTCAAGTTCAAGAGCGTGTGTGTGAAATCCCACCGCCTCTTCAGTTCAGAGATGTCTGCCAGCATCAATCTAGTTTAGGTTTTGGTTGATAATTATACCTATGCATGTAGTTGTCTTTTTACCTTTTTGTTTTAAGTGCTTAAGCGAGTTGTGTATTTCTTAATTATGTCCTTTTCATAATACTGTTATAAATTGCGTCAGGTTTCTATACGTATTGCTGAGGACAGCAATATTTTACAGATGGCATGAGTGTGGCAGGGCCAATTTTCAGTTGCAATTTTATGTATTCATTACTTTTAGAAGATAGGAATAGTACCCGTTAGTGAGGAAAACAAAATTTATTTCAGTCTTAGTTGGATACCCGCCCCCTTTTCTTGGTTGTGTGTCCTCCTGTTTGTTTACTTTAGCTCACAAGGTCCCCTACAAAGTTGCCTCCTGGTCAAGGCAGATCAGCATAGCAGACCAGCAGTGAAGTGTGTACATGTGCCGGTACATGTGTGCATCTTTTACCCTCTTAACTAGAGTGGTGCGCCCTGCTTGTGTTTTTTCTGCTCACATCATTTGTGAGTCTTCATTCCCATAATAATTGTGAGTAGTTGTAGTATAGTTTAATTCATTGTAGTTTTTTAAAGTTTGTTTGGGTGACAAAGTAAACTTTGATTCTGGACAAGGTTAGTCTTTTGAAGAAGTTCTAGTTTTGAAGAGTTGGAATTCTTTATTTGCCCAACTTATTCATCACGACAGATTCATTACTTTTACTTTTGATTATAGTCATTCTTTTTGAATTTTTTGATGAGGTAAACAAGATTTTTATTGGGAGTTTCAATCTATTTGAATGCTTTTGAGAAAGTATTTCAGATGGTTGAATTCAGCTTGAGTCAAGTATAGAACCTCGCTGTATTCTTTTCTGTCAAACTGGTAATTCATTTCCTTTCTAGATTCTCTCAATGTCTTTTATACATCTTTTAAGACAGACATAAAGTTAATGAGTCAATACCATGCATGTGTTTTAGTTTTCGTCTGAATTTTCCAACTGCGCTCACTCCGTACGGTTCTGTGGTGCCACATGCACACTGGACACGTTGGACTTGTTGCATAATGTATTCATTCTTGCCTGGGGATTAGCAAATTCCACTTCCTTTGTATGAGAGAACTTGTTTACTGTGTCATGAATATTTAGCAGACCCTGTTTCTTATTATATTCTTTACTTTTCTTATCTTGGTTCGCAAACTTCTTGTCGGAGTGTAAATGTACTTCAAAGGCCACTTATACACACTGTCTTGGTTTTGGTTTTTAGTCCTTTTAAATTTTTAGTTTTTTGGTTTAAGTCCTTTTAAAGTTTTAGGCTTTTGGTGTTTTTAAGTCCTTTCAAAGTTCTCTTATTCCTTAAGTCTCTTTGGGTTTTTGCATTTTTTGGGACATTTTCATTAATAAATTCTTTTATGTTCTTTGTTGAAGTCAAATATTGGTGTCTGAGTCCTTATTAATTCAGTTTCCTGCAACTTTTCCCTCAAAGATCCTTGGTTTAGTTAGAGTTTTTTTGTTGTTTTGCAAGTTCCCCATAATGTGCCATTTTCCCTGTTACATATATTTCTTCCAGAAAGATGCTTTCGCAGTCAGCTTTGTCAATGCTGCTGGACCTACTGGTCTCCATCAGCCTCGGCCAACACACTGGAAAAGGATCGACGCTCAATCTCAAGGAAATTGTTGTCGGCCGGTGTTGGGACTACCAACGAGTGATAGGGATGGAGCCTGGCAGACCCCACAAGTAAGCAAGAAAATCTATAGCTTGACATTGTAATAAATACTACACTAGAGAAAAGTCTGCTTTGGCTGCACTTACGGTTGAAGTAAAAGGCTAACATGCATACATGTTCACAACAGAGTTTCCCACAAGGTTTCCCTGATCATATTGTGACTCAGTACTGTACTGTACTGCGTTTGTTTCCACAGCATTTGTTTGTTAGACCAGCAATTCATTAGACCGAAATAAGGTGTTGACATCGATATATGTGGGCCGTTTTTGAAATGTGCTGATATTGGAAAGGTCAGAAGTTTACATTATACACCTTCTATGCACCGCAACTTTAGGCTTTTGGAAATTCCAGAACGCAGTGAAATCCTCTTCTGGTATAGTTTCTTAATATATGATTTATTTCTTAATAATAATGAGGTCCGGTGTTAAGTTGAACAAAGCAAAATAAAAGAAGCACGGCATGGTGCTTCGGTGCAAAATTGTCATTTACATCTACCGTTGTCAGTTTACTTGCTCGAGTTCAGTGGATTGGTTTTGCCGTATTTGGTTCGGACACTGAACGCAAGACTACGGTATAACTTGGAATTGGACAGTCACAGTGTGTGGTAAACTTTGATATGTTTCGTCTTCTTCCAAATATGGCAAACAATCTCCCGTGCGAGATGCATTATTGCGGGTTTTATTTTTAATGGAAACGCGGGGGAGGGGTTGCCACAAACTTCACGTGGTTGAAAATAGAATAGTAAGTAAAGTTTGAATCAACTTTATTGAGTGTAAGTTAACAGAATAGTGTGGTCAGCCTCTCAACCACGAATCTTCCTGCAGAGGCACAAAAACCCTATGATCTCCCAGAAGAAAGACCGACTGACTTATCGATGTAAGCAATAAATTGAAGCTGAATAAGCCTTAACTACTAATGCAGTTACTCGTAAAAAAGCCTGTAATATAGAGCGTCTCCAGTCATTGTCAATGTTGTATGGGTGTTTAAGGAGCTTCCATTTCATCTAGAAATTTTATTTGGCTTATAGATTACTGTGAAATTAGAATTCATGCTGGTTTTGTGGTGTAATTCACAAGTGTGGCTTTCTTATTCGTTTGAACTTCCCTGCATTTTCCTCTCATATATCCTGTCAACCAGCCATCCATTGAAAACGTTGAAAGATCGAATGACTGAAATGAAAGACACGGTCTTGCTATACGAGACAAATTTGCGACAAAGTCGAGCACTGTACTCTAAAGAATCCTTTTCAGTTTCGCGTTGGACAGATGGAGAGGAGCTTGCTTATCCATTAGTTTCAAATTGGACTTTATAATGTTTCTGTATAATGATTAATGATCATGACGAAAAGGCTGGTAAATTCATTTTCCCCCCGTACAACCTGTCAACTAACCATCCATTGCAAAAGGTGGAAGATCAAATGACTGAAATAAAAGACAAAGCAACCGGACCGGCTATGCGAGGCAAAAGTACGATACAGTCGAACCATTGAGAATATTTTTACAGTTACAGTGGCATATGTAGAAAACATAATGTGTTGAATTTTAATTTTTAGACAAATTGAATAGAACCTAATTTCACTTGGTGGGTCCCATCCTCAGCCATATATTTCATTCACAGTAATAGAGTGGAAAATAATGAAGGGACAGAAACCAGTCTAACATTAACAAAAATACCAATGAATGGCATTTCAGACGCAAATCTGTTCGCAAAAAGGCGAACAGTACTATGTGGAACCGTTAATTTGTTCTCTGAACAGAAGAGGATTTATACAGGTGTTGTTTAAAAACAATGAAGGTTTCACACTAATGCAATGGTAAGAATAATTTCAGTCAGGACATATGGAAAGTTCATTCAACTCAGCTTCTCCTCGATCTTCCACCTCATGAAATTCTTCTGACCACTGAACTCATAACCATTCTTTTTAGTATAATGTTTCACAGTAAAATGTTTCACAGTAACTGATGTCCAAAGCAAGCAATGTCATATGGTGATGATTTCAAATTTGTTGCTTGTTTTTTTTTTTTTTTTTGATCGGTGTTGATGACGTGATGCATACAAGCCCTGTGGACTGTGCTAAAGCTTGGGCAGTCTTCACGGACGCCTTTGCCCACAAGGACCCTTGTGAAACGCCACCGGACGCTTTCAGTCAGTTTGCACACATGATGACAGTGAGCCTTCCAAAAGATGGCGTAAGTACAAATGCAATAGCACGATGTAATATAAGCAACAAAATGAAACTTGGAGGTTGGGGTATGCACTGAATAACATGGACATGAAACAGCAGCTGGGTTGGTATGCATTTTGTAGCGAATCAATAAAAAGCAGAGGCTACCGGTATGCTTGCAAAGTACAGAACGCTTTCTCGAGGTTATCTACTGTGTAATTTTGGACAATGTTCCCTTGGAAACCCACACCAATGTAGGTTTATCGGCTGTTGAAAGAAAATAGTTCAAATTTACAGACCTTATATTGGCCCAACGGCATTGATTTAATGCATTTTGACGTCGGCTTTCGTCACTCGTCCTATTATGCCAATCGAAGTCAACCCGTGGACCCATCAATTCAGCTAGTTTTTCATCTTCACCGCAGCCAGAAACATAAGTTATTCAGAAACACATAAGCTTTCTGAACTCATGACATGTCATTGTGGCATTCCCAGAGGAAGGCATTAAGGTCCCAAACAAGGCTATCTTTGAACTCTTTGCCTTTTCTTTATTGCTCAGAAATGTATTGTTTATTTCTCTTGAGCTGATCCTTTTACAAGTGTCAAACTCATTCCAGGCCCAAATAGAATGTGACAGTGAAAATACGAGCCAAGGACGTTTTTGTGATTTTTATAATATGTTACCTTCTTTTGTTTTGGCATTGTCCAATTCTCTGTTTTCGATGCCACTTTCTAACCAGACCATGTTCTGGTCTGGCACCAAAGATGTTGCCTTGACAATCTCTAGCCTGTCTCATGGCTCCAACTTCTCGCTGGAGAATACCTTGCTTGGGTACACCGTCAACGGGCTGACGTGGTGCGGTAAAGAAACAGTCAACGGGGACGGTATCAACTACGATAACTGCCCATCATTTGACGACCCAAACTGCAGGAGCTCCGTGTCTTCGGTGTTCTGGACGGAAGCGTCTAAGACGGTAAGTGTCGTTCTGCTCAAGCTTTAACAGCAATATGCTTACTGGATTTGATGTATATTATGTATATACTTGACTTATATTGTATGAAACATCCTTAAAGAGCCAGGATCAGGCCAAATAGAATTTTTCTGAATTTATGTAGTGCTTCTGACTTTTATTATCAAAATTAGATTGTCTTGTGAAAATTTTGACACAATCTGTCATACTTGACGAAATCTAGTTTTGTTTGTCCATCAATAGTGGAAAAACCATGTACTAATACCAGAAAAAAGGTGTGAGTAACCAGTTGTAGGGACTAAACTTATGTAAATGTGATTTCTATTGGTTTTCGATGAAACTTAGCATGTGTATAAAGCATAATCTAGATTGATCTAAAAGAGGGCTATACGATTCGGTGGGGATGTGATGCGAAAAAAGGTCGTCTAAGCAAAAAACACATCGTGAAAAGTGCACTTGCTATTTTCATTGTCAGTTTGCAATGCAAGCTACAGGGTCCGTTGATGTCTTTTTAAATGGAAGCGACCCAAGGGGAGCTTTTCGGGAAAACAGGTTGGTATGACTTTGGGTTCACTCAACGCAAGTGTTTATTCCGATTGCGAAAGAACACCACTAGATTTCACTTTCAGAACATTATAATTCACAAAAATTAAAGAAAGACATTGAATTAGAAAAGCAAACTCATTTTTCGTCATATATTTTACCGATATAAAATGTCCAATTTCGAATAAAAAGCTGGATCCCATGAACTTATTTATTGGATTGCCTCCTCACATTCCTCGAATTTGCATGACAAGAGCATTTAATTGAATGATCATTCTAATAACGACCAGAAGATGACTGGTCATCACTTGTCATTCATGAACTCTTCATTCATGCTACTGTCTATGCATTGATTGCTTGAAAGGTCGACTGTTTGGGTACAGAGGTCTTCCGATAGGGACACAAACGTTGGAAAAAGTGCACTCTCACTGAAAAATAGAACCAAGTATCTGTACAGATGTCCTTCTTTTTAACCAATCAGTGCTGTTTTCAATTGCATGATAGCTTTTTCGCGACCGTGGAGCTGCCCAACTTAAACACTGCTTTGGTCAACCGAGTTAACATCATCGTTATCCACAACCTGTATGGGCCAGTTATGTAAGTGAAGTCGTTGTCTTGTGTGGTGGTCCGGTGTTTAAACACGTGATTGTTGCAATAACCAAAAAAGCAGACAAAAAGGAAGAAAAGAACCAAAAAGAGCAGACAAAAAGAGGGGGGAAAGAACAAAAAACAGCATGAGTGTGTCGCCATCACCAGAACGACGCCTAGTTTGAGACGACTGGTAAAAGTGATGACAGTGACAATGATGAAAATGTGAATGGAAGCCAACAAATAGGTTGGCGAAGGTGTGTGGTGCTGTTAATTGTACTCGGGTGGCGAGATGGGAACGAATCAATTTTACTCAACACGTTTAAAGGGTCCATGAAGACCTCCTTGGACAAACTATTCATTATTTGTTTAAAATATTTACTGGTGTGCTAGTAACACGATAAGGGATGTAAAAGTGGAGTGCAGTTGAATTTGCTGTGGTTAATTTCACGGATCCCTCAAATGAATGTTTTAATCCTGGCGAATGATGGCGTTATGTGTGACGTAAATTTGAGAACCCACAATTCTTCACCAACACCACGAACTGACACATATCTTCACTTTTGTGCCAGTTCGTGAAAACTGTGATTAGAACAGTTTTGGTTTCACGAAGTGACACAAATGTGTTCATGGGCATATTGTACACTTGTGCATTATCGAACAATCTCGTTTTCACAAAGAAGCACAAACGTGTGTTTTGTCAATATAGCATAGAAAAAAGCTTTAAATGTCTAAAATGATTGTATTTTACCCGTAAAATGGGTGACTAAACTGAAAAAATGCTGTTAAAACTCGTAACTATGTAAATTAAGGAGCACTTCAATTTCTGAATACGGCAAATCACGAAGCACGTGACGCAAGACATTTGTGCCTCTTCGTGAAAACGAAAATATCACATTTCTATAAAATACGCGTTGAAGCGCGCACACATCTATAGATTTGTGTTACTTCGTGATGTTGGTGACAAATTATAATCAGTCACCCTTTTGGTACACCAGGAAAGGAAAGGAACAAGGACATTGGTCATGAGCAATACGGGCGATTCACAATAGTGCACCTCCAAGAGTTTTCAACGTGTGGGCCAATCACAATGCGCCAGATTTGTCGACTCTGTCCAAACGCGCATTGCGTCGACAAATTTCGCGCACTGTGATTGGCCAATGCAATGCAAACTCTTGGAGGCGCACTATTGTGAAACGCCCGTATTCCCGTGCCCGTGTAATGTTCGAACGTAAAATACATTAAACATGTAAACATATGAGTGGTTGCGTTCGATTAGCTTCCCTGAATACACCAGTGTTACATGCAACGGAAGACTCGGGATAATCAAACGCTGCAGTGTATTCACCAAGGCATTCTGGGAAAAAGGTCAAGTCCACGCCACGTTCCATCACGTACGTCCATGCTTGAACAGTCCATCCGTGATGTCATTACACTCGGGCAGCCTCCAGAGACCCGCTCGCCAGCTGGGGTAGGGTGGCTGACGCGAGGGCAGTCACGAAGATCACGTGATGGCTAAACGAACGCTCTCGTGTAAGTTTGACTTACACGAGTAAGCTAATCGAACGCACCCCAAGATACCCACGTGCCCTGTAAAAGCGTGAGCACACGCGGTACAACCACCGTATGGGCAATTACAACCGAGTACATTGAGCGGAATAGCCTGGGCCGATTGGAAGCATTTTTTACCCTTTGTCGTTTACGTTTCATGAAAGTTTCTCTTCGTCTTAGCTCACAGGCTTTTTTTTTTGTTTTTTGTTTTTGTTTTTATTTCCCAAAGATCGTGGTAGTGGTGTCTGCATTCAGCAATTGTCTCAAACGAGTCGTACATTGTTGGGAAGAAAACACTATGGCTAGAAATGTGCAGTACATAGTTTGGAACTTGCTGTCAGTCGTGACCATTTGGCTCTGGACAGCCTGCCTTTCGATGTCCACGTTCGTCTAAATTTCGCTTCGGTTGAAAGTTATACAGGCTTGACCAAACTTTACCTTTATTTGTCGCGGCAACAAATCTGGTATAATCTCTAAACTCACCCCAAAATTGGACTGAATTTCCGAACTCGGCCCAAGACAAGCATTGATACTCTAGCAGACAATGTTTTCTCAAATGTACGTCACAGATATACAGATTTTCTATGTTCATGAGATACGTCTCGGGGAGAGATTGTTTCGCCTAAATTTTGGTTTAATTATATCTCCCATTTATTAATCAAAACAATTCTTTATATCGTTTAAACCATACAACTTTCAATTATTACTAATAAAAACCACTTTTCATGGGCCCACTAATAAAAAACGACAATGGTGTTTGGGACAGGCCGAATGGTCACATAAATTGAAAGATTGTAAATAGCTTAAAATCCTGTGTCACAGAGATACCTGCGGGACGGGGACCATTTTGACCCTACAGAGCCGTATTGAAGACCGAGGAATGGACTGGTCGTGCGACGATGACCCAGAGTAAGAGCTAGCGATAAAATGATTACTTGATATTAAACAGAAACGCCCCCTATTTTAACGACGGAGAAACACGTGTGTATTTCGAGGCTAAAATTGGTACCATCCACAGGTCAACAGTCGGCTGCCAAAGCGAAATTGTGGTCAGTGTTTGTAAACAAAAGGAAAGCTTCTGGAAGTAGCCGGCAAATGATGCCGGCGGTAACGTCTCTGCCATTTACACGGGGATTCCGAATGTAACATATTCCAGCATTTTCATATAATTTTATACGGATTAATGAACTTTTGTGTTGCCTTCCGTTGTTGAGGAAAAGAAAACTAACCAAGTAATTTTCCCCCTTTTAAACAGGGAAACCAAAATCATCCAGTGCCTCCAGTATCCTCACTCCTACGAATGTGAACTCGGAAATCAAAATTAGGTGTTTCGATCGTCTACCCGCTGCACTTTGCCAGACGGTAGTAAGGGCTAATCTTTTTGTCACAAAATTCGCTTATCAGAATTTTTCAATTGCACGTACGTGCCACTCGCCCTGCTCACAGGGAAGTTCGACACCTTATACAAACTATGCCATTCATCAGGGAGTCCAAGAAATTGTATCGCTAAAAAGATTAGACCTGACAAGCGCACTGCATGCGATGATGGGCGGGAGCAACCGAAGTATACGTGAATATAACCTCACTCCTTAAGTTGGGTTTCGGTACTCTTCTTCGGTGACCTTTATGAATAACCTTATTTAGTTATTGTGCTGGCCCAGAGTATATGCTTAATTACACGTTGATGTAAGCAATAAAGCATAAGGCTAACGGTTACTGTGTATGCACGAATAACTCAGACATGCAGTTTGGCCTTTGCCATTGGTCTACAGCCCAGCATCAGGGTAGTTATTGATGAAATATGAAACTGCAAATTGCAAACATTTTCTGGCTGGAGAACAAATTTGTGACGTGAATGGGGGGAAAGGGGGTTATGGGACGGATGACTAGCTCGACCATGAAAATTTGAAAAACGAAGGGGGGGGGCGACACCAGCTGACACTAGAGGGCGACGTTCATGATACAGATGTACACCTGTGTATTACACACTTGCAGAACTGTAGATCAAAACTGAACGTTCACGTTTTAAAATTGGTCTCCTTTTAAATGGTCTCCTGAGTGCTATTGATCCATGTAGACACAGTAACAAGTTGGTCGAAATTGAACAAACATTGTGGGCCACTGTAGACAGCTTCCAACTTTTTTTGTTTTGTCCATGTAATTTATCATTCCATTTTGAGGGATTTCAGCGGTCGCTTGGTATGGTAATCAGTAGGGAATGATTCATATTATCCCTTATGTTTATGTTAAAAGATTGAAACATTATTCTCTTTATGTAATTGCCTGATAATATTCACATTAGCCTTGATTTATGTAATTAGTCCCGGTTTTGTTCCTTAAAAGAAGATACAGTATTTCAATTTTGCTCCAGGCGCATATTGTAGTTCTAACATTTTTAAAAATGTTTTTGGACCACCAAATGCCAGTTTTCATACATATCTATAAGTCAAGGATATGATTTTTTTCAAGTTGGGGTTGAATAAGCTTATGGTCTGAATATAATCGTCTTACATAAATACACACACATGCATTATTGCACGGGTATGCACGTGCATACGTCAAAAATCATGCATTGATTTTTCGTGTCAGTTTAAAATTCTGGTATTTTTACGTATTCAATGGGTTGTGTGACAATGGAACAATATTTTCGGGCACAAAAACGGTCCCTTTGGAAATTCTTATATATTTTCCCTCTATTTGAATGCAAACTGATGCTTGTTATTAATTTAGACTAATAATTTAAGTTAGACATGCTAGCTTTTCCTCTCATAGTATGTACTGCATGCGTTATTCATTTTTCAGTCGGATTTCTATCATTCAGGAGTGTATCAGGTTTTAGGGTCTGATGGGCATTTCTATCCGGAAAAACGGTTCTAATTTTCCCCTCCCATGTGCATGGTGTGGGAGGTTGATAGAACTGGCCACACTCCCTGAATAAAAAGGAACAGAAATAAAACAGTTTGAAGTTTCTGTGGCTGAAATTTGGAGCTATGTTGAATGGGGAGTATCTCATCTTAAAGTTTGCAGATTTCGAAAATTCAATCTGAAGCTGGAAGAGACAACAAAGCCATGGTTTGAAGAATTCCCTCCACACAAGATCAAGACCGGTTAACCCGTTGAATTTTATTGCAAATCCTACGTGCGTACTTTTTTTTCCGGTAGGAGGGATAGGAGTAATTATAATATCAAGACCGCCGCCCGTGCGTGCGATCGCGAAAGATCAGCAATCGTAATACGGACGTGGTTGAAACTACTAGAAGTCCAGTAGCTGCAGCTTTTGTATCGTGCCGGAAGTTTGTGAACAAACCGCTGACCTGTGGAAGACTGCTACGATCCTTGATATTATTGTCAAAAATAGTCAATAATTTCAGTGCACCACATTCAATTACTGCCCCAAAGTAAACGTTTGGAACAAACACTTGCAAACGAAAGTCGTGTCCCACGTAATCAGGAAGAAAGTCCTAGATTCCGTGAAGGCCGATCCAAGAAGTGCTCGCATGGTCGCCTTATGCGCGTAGTCTCAGCAGATTTCTGTGGTATCGTTTGTAGAACCAAATTCAACGAAAAAAAAAAAGAAAACCTGTATCTTTTTGGAGTTTTTATAGAAAGTATTAGGATAGGGATTTTCTTTCACAAAAACTGCAACACGGGGATCCGGAGGATCTGCTGCTTTGTGATGCCGCCGTATGCAGCACATTTGGCAAGACGTCATTTGGCAAGGTACGTCGGGAAGGACTGCCCTTCACATTTCACTGGTAGATTTCTGACGATTGCCTTTCATATAAACAGAAACTGAAGGATGTTTTGAGACATTCCTGACACCCCCCCCGAAGGGCATGAAGTGCTTGAACTTAAAAATTAAACAAAAACACTGACGATGCCCTGTATTATTGTGGGCCCACACTTTGTCACAAAGGAGTAAAAATAAAATCCAGTTGGCAATCCAAAATTATTCAAAGCAAACACGCAAGCAATTTTTTTTTCCAATCTTATAAATTTTTTTTTAAAAAGCATGATTGAATGTCCAGTACAATACGGTCAACCGTAGTGGTGGCATTCGGATTGAAATCACGAGTGTGAGTTTATCCATGTTTGCAAGCGTTCCTGTTTGAATTATCGGGCGCGTGTTTTGGCAACCATGAACCACGCTTCATCTTTAGGTTAGTGGTTTAGTGATATGGCGATTCGGTTGCATAAGTGACGTCATATTGTTCTGACCAAACCAGAAACAAAGGAGGCGGAAAAGGACACTGTTTTTGTGTCAAAATGAGTGAATTATGTGTGCTTCAGTTAATTGGTGCACGCATGCAACGTTTCTAGAATAAAACGAACTTGCCGAATATAACGTGAATAAAGTCGTCTGCTACTTTGTGTCCCTTTTGTTGATGACAGTTGACTTTATTTCTCCTAGGTTGAACGTCAAAGACAAACGAAACTCGAAAAATAAAACACAGCACTAACCCTGTATGGTACAACTGGTTGCGTTTTAATTGTATTTTCGTTTGCTCCTTAGATAAAATGACAAACAAACAAACAAACCATTATGTGGAGCATTTGAACCTCGGTATTTGTTACTCGTTATCGCCATATCATACATGATATTTTTATTATTATCATTACTCATATTTATCCAGGGTAGCATATTCACCAAAACGGTGGTCTTCGATAAGGCTCTGTCACACCACTTACAGAAAATCAACTTTAAAAGCTTCATTAAAATTAATAAATTTTAAAATCAAATACTACAATATTTACATTTTAAAAGATTACCACAGAATAAATTTGAACAGTAAACGGGAAAGTAAAATTAGTAAAAAATAACATAGGCCTAAAAACATCAAAAACCAAAAAACAACACAACATGATAACAAAAATACTATAATGGTTATTATGCTTGAAGAAAAGTTGAAAAATAAACTAACTCTCGTAACCATGGTAAGGCCATGTCCCAATAAATTGGCTGGGGCTTGACATTCACATGACTCTATGAGAAGTGACTGCCGCAACCACCAAATTCAAACACGGCCTAATATTTTAGCGAAGCGTTTTGTGTGTTGCCTTCTTTGGAATAACACACACAACAAGAGGTGCATTCCAAATACGCCAGTGCCGAAGTATGAAATTATTTTCATTCCAAACGTCGACAACACAACGTTTTACCTTGCACTGTGCAAATGCTGTACAGCATGACACAGAATGACGGTCACTGTCTCTCCTTTTAAAGGAACCAGGAAATAGAAATATTTTAATAAATTTTACTAAAAACACTTGAAATTGCATCTTTGGGTTTCAATTAACCTCAATTTAATTTTTTTGGTTGTTATGCTAATGATAATTTGCATATTCATGAGCAAAGGTATGATGTTATCCAAGGCACTGAATCTCAAAGTTGCGCTGATTTGTGCACAGAAAATGTCTAGATTTTTTCAACCACTGCTATGGCAGATTTTATTTTCTTTGGCAATTTATTGCTGTGTAAGAACATGGTAATAATCCAGCAAAAACCATTTTCACAGAAATGTTCACAGATACCAAATTTGGGGTCCACAATTTGAACATGAAAACATGCAACCTGAACCATGTCTTCCTGGATTAACATCAAAGCAAAAGCGCCCTCACTTGTCCAGAAATGCTTCGTCAAATTTTAATGTTTGAAAAAGTGCACCGTTCAGTTCATGTAACTCAAAAAAAGATGTCAAACAGTCTTCATACATGGAAAAGAGTACAGAGATACACAAAAAGTGATTCGAAGAAAAATCCATTTCCTGGTTCCTTTAATTAAAGGATATAACACAATCTAGTACTCAGTGAACTACACTGAGCAGGGATTACTTTTATGAATAACTCAATTCAATGTTCCGGATTACTTAATTTAATATCATGAATAATTCAGTTCCCTTTGACAGATTATCAGGTAGTTATTGAAAATCATTTGAAGATGACAAATGCCCAAGAGTATTTCTTTTTAAAAAGCCACCTTTCAAACTTGGTGTCATGCAATTGGAGAAACTGAATGCCCGAGTTCACGAACTAGGCTGTCTGTACGAGAAGACTGACCAACCGTGAAAAGGGGATAGACAGAGAGAGAAAAAATGAGTCAAAGAAGAGCTATTCCAATAAAATTTAAAACACTTTTCAGATCTATTCATAACAAATTTTGCTATATAACATTCGAAAGCGGAATAATATTGAAAAATTAATGTACGAATGACGTCATGAATCAGTATGGATACTGGGCGTCGTTACATAATAAGCTACACATTATTAACTGCGCTGCCGATGTACAGACTATGGTACTGGTAACCAGACTACTAAAATCTCAAGGTCAGTCTGTGACGTGGCAAACGTTTTTGCATTTGAAAGGGAAAGTCAAAAAAGTTTGAGATAAACCGTCCACTCCGTCATTGTTGCTGTCTATCTAGTATTTGCCGAGTTTTATTGCGTCTGTTTGGAACTTCATCATGCTGGTTCTAGTGCATTGGGTTGAAACAAACCAAACGAGTATCCTGGACGAAGAAATGGTCGTCGACAAAACAATGTTGCAGGATGCAACGAAAGTAGGAATGGTGAAACATGGCGACTCGTCAAAGAAGGCACCAAAGCACGGCTGGAAAGCGTACCCAGCAAAAGTTTTATCAGTCAGTGGTAAGTTGATAATGGAGATATGAAGTGATAAGCATTAGGCTGGGGTTGGTGACAATTTTTATTTAAAAAAAAATGGATTTTTTTAATTTAAATCAGATTTTTAAAATTGAAATCAGATTCTTTATCTTTTTTTTTTTTACTTTTATAATATATATTTTTTTCATAATTCAGAACATTACCCAAAATTCAAATATCGACTCCATCCTTGTGTCTTCCCTAATATTTGATTAAAATACTTAACATGATTGTGGACAGTATTTTGGAATTAGGCCTAGGCCCCTATGCCCAATTAAAATATTGACCAGACATGCCAGATAATTGGTGTGGAACGGGTATTCAGCTCCTATGGCCTGGTGCACTCCAAGCTGAGGAACCGTCTTGGAACAACCAAGGCTGCTAAACTTGTGTTCCTATTCAAAGCATTGAACATGAAATAAACTGTCTCTAATGACTATTAATAAGGGATAAATGTAGCAGTGACTAGACCTCAGTTTTTATACATACATGTACATGATATCTAGTTATTTTAAATATTTTGTTGCATTCTAGTACATTAAGTTATTTCTCTATTTAACCTTAGCCCCCCACACCTTTTCAACTTACAAAATTACATGTGGAACCCACCTTGTGTCAAAGAAAACTATTTAACCTAAATCACGCGATCAAGATTTTAATCAAGACTAGTGTTTCTATAATTAGAATTTTTTTTAAACAGATTGTGTCATTGCCAGGGGGGTATCTGGATGTTTAAAAGTGGTTTAGCTCTTTTATTTTGATGAAAGTAATTGGTTTTAATTATTAAAAACTACTTTAACAATTTATTTTTTAATTGTTTAGTTTTTACTAGTGATTTAAATTTAAAAAATCATTTGATTTAAATCAGCCAACCCTGGATCTAATGATTTTTTTGGTCAAAGTTGGCAAATTTTTGTAAGCATATTGGTCTTTTTTGCATCATGTAGACAGCAAGTCTTTCCTCCAAAAAAAGGAAGATCAGTTTCTCGCCACAAGTGGTCCTGGATGTTCTGTGGATGTTGATGGCAAGAAAAGCCGGGGAATGCGGAAAAAGCGTGTGTATTCTTCAAGTTCTGATGAAGAAGAGGAGACCGAACATGAGCTCAAGAGAATAGAGAAGGAGGTAAGGCAAAGTAAAAACATGGTAAAAGATGTTAAGCATACCTCATGTACCTCTGTGGGCTGACCATTATTAGGCCTATGACTTTTTATTGTCCTTTTTGTCTTGATAGAAACAACGCAAAAAAAATGCAGCAGAACAAAAGGCCATGAAGGACTTCATGTATTACAGCCATTTGCTGTCATCGGATGATGAAGATGGGAGTGA